CCATACCTCCGGCAGTAATTATTGGAAATTGTTGAAAGTCAATAGGCTTCGTTGTCTCATGACCTTAAACACTGTGTATAAATTTAAAGTCAATCAGCTGATAACTTGGTCTCTAGAAGGCCCACAAGATTTTTCAAAGTGATCAAGGGCAATAACTCTGAAAATCAACTGGCTTCTTCATCTCATACACTGTGCATAAATTTAAAGTCAATCGGATGATAAATTTGGTCGCTAGAGACACCACAAGATTTTTCAATGCGGTCAAGGGTCATTACTCTGGTAATAAATATCAGAAATTGTTGGAAATCAATAGGCATCTTCGTTTCATAACCTTAACCAATGTGTAGGCCTATAAATTTGAAGTCAATCAGATATTAATCTTAGCCTCTAGAGAGTGCATAAGATTTTTTCAGTGATCAACGGCCATAACACTTGCAGTAATTATCGGAAATTGTTAAAAATCACAAGGCTTCATTGTCTCTTAATCTTAAAGACCACATAAGACAAAAAATCTAAATCTAAATTAATTCGTCTGTTAATGTTTAAGTATCCGACAAGCCAAAACGCTTTTCAGTTTTTCAATTATGACCTTAATCTGGTTGATTGGCTGGTGACGTCACAGGCAGTACACATAGTATATACATTATCTATACAATATATCACTGTATGTACAATATAGCACTAGATAAGTGCATGGCTAGTACATTTTTAAACGCATCTCGGAGAAACTAAAGCCGTTGCCATTAATCTAAACCATAGTACTAATGAAACCATTTTTGTTATTCTTCAATGATTTTTTATCAATTATCAAACAGGGTTTTGAAATTAAACGGTATGAATAGTAACCAACGCTAAAAAACCCATATTAAACGATACATGTCATTTGGGACTCACGTCATTTGGGACTCAAAAAAATATGACCACAACTCGGGTATACAACGTTTTGGGACTCGGGATAATTTATTAGAAATAGGCCAATTCAAAACACGAAAGAAAATATTTATTAACATGAAACACGTGGTTAGTAAAAGGCTCAACCAAACGATAAAACATTAGTTCCACTTACGAAGTATTACTAAATATACACAAATTTTCAACAATATATTATTGTCAAGTTTTATACTCGCAGATAAAACAAAACAAAGGAGAACTAGCAGTGTTAATCGCGGTCTCAACAATCCCCGATCAACTAAATAAAACGAAAGACAACTAAGACAGCTGTTACTATATATCTCATAAATAAATAGTCCCAACTGTCGTTTATATTGAGTCCCAAATGTCGTTTGTGTTGAGTCCCAATTGACGCCAATCAAAGTCCCAAACGTCGTCAACTGAGTCCCAAATGTCGCTTATGTTGAGTCCCAAATGACGTGAGTCCCAAATGACGTGATACCATATTAAACGATACCACATTTGTAGTGTATAGAGGTCCCAATTTTTATCCGATTTTGTTGAAACTTGAAATGTAAGTTTATAACCCAAAGATCTTGGTTCCTTTCGATATTTGCACATATCGAATTGTAATTTCCTGAATTATTGCCCTTGATTGTAGGAAAAATCACTTTCTTTTTAGCTTGTTCTCTATCCATCTCTCGAAAATATGGGCGTATCCTGCCTGGCAGCCGCTGGTATGCAACTAGCAATGGAATTACGTAATTTACGGTTCTTTATTTTAACAACCTCCACAAAATACCCTTTTTAAACCATTTTTTATCATATTTTCACAAAAAACGATTGATTTAATGAAAAAAAAGATGCTTTTTTGAAGCATTTAGTGCGAACAAAATTTTTTCGGTACTTTTGACCCATTGAGTGTATATTGCTGTGTATATATAAATAGAGCTGTCGGAATGTTTATTCTTTAATTACCTATATACAGTCGGGTGTGTATTCATTAACGCCTGACTGATTCCTTAATCCCCTAATAAAATAAAACAATTGAATTTAGAATTTGTTTTTAATGTACCGCTCACTCTCTTTTCTCACAACAGCGATTTTAATACTGTGTTTTAAAGTGACTTTTTCGTACAGTCCCTCTACCATTGTGTGCAGTCCAAACGATTTGAGATACATTTTCGTCAAAAGAGTATTGTGGTTCTAATTTCCCAGTAAAAAGATGTGGTCATGCAAAACGTATCATAAAAGTCAAACATGATTGAAACGCGATTTGTAAATGACGATCTGTTATCGGAGTAGCCAACTGTATCTCGTATTCCTGTAGCCATCGTACGGCGCCTTTCTTTCTGCATGTGGATTTGACTTCATTACTCTGAAATAGACCTTACAAATGAAGTACGAAAAAATATCTCAATATACGTTAGAATTAACAGTACAAATAAATTTTGTTGGTATATGGAATAACAGATTGAGAAGGGTCATCTAACTATCTTGTGTATTGATAAAAGTGTAGTGTCGTTTATATCTGTCATTAATCTATCCCACTAAAGTTGCAGACATGGGGTCATAAATTAATTAAGAATGCTGATTAGGTAATTATATTTTTTTACACCGGCCAGATCAAAGGTGGAACGTGTGCGTAATACCCCATGAACGAAGTAATCGTACACACGTTAATTGTAAAATATAATTAAGCTTTACTCATCATTTGTTTATAATTATTATAATTACAAGTTTTTTATAATTATTATTTACCCATTAATCAATTAGCTTTGCTCACCGATGTTTTTGTAATAAAGTAGCCTTGACTTGATATGAAATCTGAATATAAATTATTCGATGGATAAACGTTTGTGATAAGATAAGGTTATAATGTCTAACATCGTTTAACTTTGTTTTATAATAAAGGTATTTTACAATTACATTGACAGTTTAATCACTCACCAAACGGCATCAGGAACTCCATGTATGATCAAGTGTATTTAATATTCATGTCCATGAATCCCGTGCACTATTTGCGCCAAAGGTTAACCTCATTTACTACGGTCGTAGTGCATGGAACCATACATGGTAATAAGATTCCCAGCGTTGATTGGCTGAGAAATGAGGGCGATCTATTGTTATGCATAGTCATCGGAAAATTCCATATTTGCTGTGAATTTCAAAAGTTGTTCTTTGTGTATAGAAATGGTCATAATTATTATATATAGCTAATAATGAATATATCGACAAATGACTGGCACCATTTGTATTTCTGTACTTTGTGATCAAGTATTACAGGGTTATCCAAATTAAATGCGTTAATTACTTTGGGTCGTCTTCAGTTGACATGTGGCCTATTTAAACAAAGGCAGCTTAAAGATACATTATGGGAGATAAGATAAAGAGATGGCAGTTCTCGCTATATTAGTTAAAAACTAGATAGTGTAAAGGTAATTTGCTGAATATTTCAGTCAAATTGATCCACTTTGAGCCGAGAAAGAAGCGGGTGAAATTTTTGCATAGTCTCGGTCATTATTACTAAAATCATTGATATAAACAGCATAGTCTCGATTATCCACTTTTTTTTATTTAATTATCAATGGCCGTTAGCGGCATATAGGAATCTAATCCAGCAAACATCGAAGGCTAGCCTTGACATCGAGAGGTTATTATGGTCTGGATAAGTTAATTAATGTCTAATTGATAATTTAGATAACATTTCAGGCCTAAAGAAAGACTTGTAATAAGCAGATTTTGCTCTTGCATAATGCATGTTTAAATGGATCTACGGCATTTTGAATTCACTCTAAAATATTCCAATTACAAATGTCTAATCTATAACAATGTAAGACAATAATTCGGTGATTATGATAAGGTCAGTCATGTGGTAATTGGACCGTCACTAGACGCTTGTGAACTGGTGGTGTGTATTAATAGTGCTATATTGTACATACAGTGATATATTGTATATATAGATAATGTATATACTATGTGTACTGCCTGTGACGTCACCAGCCAATCAACCAGATTAAGGTCGTAATTGAAAAACTGAAAAGCGTTTTGGCTTGTCGGATACTTAAACTTTAACAGCCGAATTAATTTAGATTTAGATTTTTTGTCTTATGTGGTCTTTAAGATTAAGAGACAATGAAGCCTTGTGATTTTTAACAATTTCCGATAATTACTGCCAGTGTTATGGCCGTTGATCACTGAAAAAATCTTATGCACTCTCTAGAGGCTAAGATTAATATCTGATTGACTTCAAATTTATAGGCCTACACATTGGTTAAGGTCATGAAACGAAGAAGCCTATTGATTTCCAACAATTTCTGATAATTATTACCAGAGTAATGACCCTTGACTGCATTGAAAAATCTTGTGGTGTCTCTAGCGACCAAATTTATCATCCGATTGACTTTAAATTTATGCACAGTGTATGAGATGAAGAAGCCAGTTGATTTTCAGAGTTATTGCCCTTGATCACTTTGAAAAATCTTGTGGGCCTTCTAGAGACCAAGTTATCAGCTGATTGACTTTAAATTTATACACAGTGTTCAAGGTCATGAGACAACGAAGCCTATTGACTTTCAACAATTTCCAATAATTACTGCCGGAGGTATGGACCTTGATCACTCGTGGTCTGTAGAGACCAAATTTATCATCCGATTGACTTTAAATTTATACTCAGTGTTTAAGGTCATGAGACAACAAAGCCTGTTGATTTCAAATAGTTTCTGATAAATATTGCCAGAGTTATGGCCCTTGATTTTCAACATTTTCAGATAAATAGTTTTTAAAAATTTGTGATATTACATGTTTTGTATACTAAACGTTAGCATGGGGCAGAACTAGAAGACAAACAAATTCAAATGATTTATGATTATTTCTTTATTGGTGTGTTGTTACTCTTAATCAGATTTTAGTGTGCTGTACATTTTTTCATTACCAACTAAAGAAAAAATAAGACTACCCTTGTTGACTCCTCGGACTACTTAGCTGCTGTGGGTGTATGTTTCATTGCCTGGCAACCTATCTTTTCATCTTTTAAAGGGTAATATTTAAGAAAGGCCATATTCTTTTGAAATAAAGTAATTATTACTGATTACACTGATATATTATAGGTATTTGATTGTAATGCTAGATATATTTATCCGTGGAAGTGGTGTTCTAGTGGACAGTTTGCTATGGTTGTATTAGACAGACGAGGAGGTAGATCAACAGTACGAGACATGACAGTGTCGATTCTAGCTGAACATGCTCTTAATACTCAAAGAACAGGTACGTAATTCCACATTTCATTTATCAACATCTTATATTGCCCATATATTATTCATCTAGTAAAAATCAAGTTACAAATCATATTGCCTTTAACAAACTAAAATGCTGGCTGTGGCATTATAATGGTGACCATAAATCACAGTTTATAAACAAAACCAGATTTGTGTGCTATACACAGCTGCTCTTCCTTCTTTTTAAACATGTGTCTGTGGGACAATACACTAAGAAAGGCGTTGGATCCAAGAAATTTTATATCACAGACACTGCTTTGTTACTTTTATAACATCACATGACGTTTTCATTTATTCAGTTTATCAATGTCAAAATGACCTTGCTCCCTTATATTTGTTTGAACTTTTGACAAACTATAAATCTAAACGTACTCTAAGGTTGCATAACAAAAATATACTTGCTGTTCCTAAAAGACAACTAAAACAATTTGGTGATAAAAGTTTCATTTGCACCTCGCCTTTGGAATCAGTTACCAGTAAACATTAGAAAATCTCAAACTTTCACGACCTTTAAGTCACAACTAAAAACTCATTTGTTTAAACTCTATTATCCAGATTATAAACAGATTGTTTTATGTGTGTTTTTATTGACAAGAGACTCCTTAAATGTGGCACTTTGTGCATGCGTATATGGATGGATTATTAAGCGCATTACAAATATACATTATTATTATTATTTAAAGAGCACATAAAATGATCATATCAAAATCGTATGTACTTAAAGACAGTATTTATTATAAACACTTTAGTCAATTGCACACCAATCTAATTTTTTTTATAACAGCCTTAATCTAGTTGATTGGCGCTTGACGTCACAGGGACTACATATCACTGTATACACAAGCTGATGCTGGCTGTACTAATTATTACCCAAATTATAGAAAGCCCAAATTCTATATACAGTAGGCCTTTCTGGTGTAGCATTATAACTTATGACTGGATTATAGAGTAAATTTACTAATGCCACATTTAAATTCAATCGAAATGATTTGGTAAACACTATTTAACATGTAAATTCAAAGTAAATCAAATATTGCATGGGAATTTAATTTTAAAAACCTTGTGCCCTTTTCGCAAGCATATTTCCCCCACTTTTCGAAGAAAACGGGACTATTAAAATGGGTTCGTCCATCCGTCTGTCTGTCTGTCTATCCGTCCGTCTGTCTGCCCGTCACACCTTTTGGGACACAATAACTCTCCTTCTAATTGAGCTAGAATGTTCAAACTTGGTGTGGGTGTTTATTAGGTCAATGCCTTGATGGAGTTCGAAGATGAGCATTTTCTGCTTAGGGTAAGCAGAGATAAGCAATTTGATTGGTTGATGCTTTGGGACACAATAACTTTAGTTCTAATTAAGTGAGAGTGATGAAACTTGGTGTATAGTTTCATTACATCAATACCTTGACTAACTTCCATAATGGGCATTTTCTGCTCAGGGTAAGCAGAGCGATAAACAATTTGATTGGCTGAGACTTTGGAACACAATAACTCTCATTCTAATTGAGCTATAAAGTTCAAACTTGGTGTAGGTGTTTATTAGGTCAATGCCTTGATGGAGTTTAAAGATGAGCATTTTCTGCTTAGGGTAAGCAGAGATAAACAATTTGATTGGTTAATGCTTTGGGACACAATAACTTTAATTCTAATTAAGTGAGAGTGATGAAATTTAGTGTATAGTTTTATTACATCAATACCTTAACTAAATTCAATAATGGGCATTTTCTGCTCAGGGTAAGCAGAGTGATAAGTGATTTGATTGGTGGGGGTTGGATGGCTGAATGGTTAGCACGTGCGTGCTGTATCATAAAGTCTGTCATTGAGTCTACTGGTGTGGTTTCGAATCCCCAGTTGTACGTGACAAGGAGTAGTGTCGCCTGTCCAACCTCGTGGGTTTTCTCCGGGTCCTCCGGTTTCCTCCCACTGCTAAAGACCCCTACGCGCAAGTGAATTATTGAAATAAAATTGAACCATGTGTTAGTCCCGAAATGACCTAGTTTGTGTCGAGTGGACGTTAAAACCCATTTCTCTCTCTCTCGATTTGATTGGTCGAGACTTTGGAACACACTAACTCTCATTCTAATTGAGCTAGAATGTGCACACTTGGCGTAGGTGTTAATTAGGTGAATGTCTTGATGGAGTTCGAAGATGAGCATTGTCTGCTTATGGTAAGCAGAGATAAGCAATCTGATTGAATGATGCTTTGGGGCACGATAACTTTGGTTTTAATTAAGTGAAAGTGATGAAACTCCGAGTATAGATTCATTATATCATTACCATGACTAAGTTTGATGATGAGAATTTTCTGCTTAGGCTGTGGGACAAGATAACTTTGATTGTATCTGATAGAGAGTGATGAAACTTAGTGCATAGTTGATAACTTCAATAACTTCAATAACTTCTTCACAACAGTTGCATCAACTATTGTGCAAAAGTTACCTCCCCCTAGCAATCGGTTTAACTTCAAATTGCTTCTGTTACAGAATTTTTACACCAAAAAGAATGTACATAAAAGCACTTTTAATTTACATCATGTAACTGAAGATTTTATTTACAAGCAACTTTGTTCTCTTAATCCGAAAAAAAGTACAGGTCTCGATGAGATCCCGGCAAGATTCTTAAAAGATGGCGCTGACATCTTAAAAGTTCACATTCAATTTCTTATCAATTTATCTATATCAGAAAACACCGTACCTGGTGATTTGAAGCTAGCTAGAGTCAAACATTTGTACAAAAAGAATAGCTCTTTGGACGTTAGTAACTACCGACCTGTAAGTGGCCTGAGTATTGTCTCAAAATTACTTGAAAAATCTATTTACATTCAATTAGAGTCATATCTCACCCAAAACAACCTTCTCTATGAGTTTCAGTCCGGTTTTCGTGGACGCTACTCTACTGACTCATGTCTTATGCACCTTCTGGACCACTTGAAAGACCAAAATGCAAAAGGTCTTTTTACAGGGATGATAATGCTTGACCTCCAGAAGGCATTTGACACTGTTGATCCTTATGTCTTATGTGAGAAACTAAAACTGCTGGGCGTTCAGTCCACTGATTGGTTTTGTTCATATCTAACATTTAGGAAACAAGTAGTTAGTATTGCTGATACGTTATCCGAACCTGCTTCCATAACCTGTGGCGTGCCCCAGGGTAGTATCTTGGGACCGTTATTATTTCTGTGCTATGTAAACGATATGGTTATCAGTATCCCCTCAAAATGTAAACTTATTTTATATGCAGATGACAGTACAATATTATTTTCCGATCAGAATCCTGAAGTTGTTTCACAAACACTTGGCTGTGCTGTTTATTCCTGTTCAGAATGGCTCATCGATAATAAACTGTCGCTCCATCTCGGTAAAACCGAGTGTATTCTCTTCGGGCCTAAACGTAAACTAAGGAGTATCAAAGAGTTTACAATAACCTGCAATAACCATACCGTAAAAGCAACAGATAACCTTAAATATTTGGGTCTACGTTTTGACAAATACTTGTCTGGTGAGGACACTGTTAACAGCATTATTAAGAAAGCAAATTCAAGATTAAAATTTCTGTTTCGCTATAATAAATGCCTTAGCAAAAAAAACAAAAATTTACTTTGTTCTGCACTTATTCAGTGCCACTTTGATTATGCCTGCTCAGCCTGGTATTCTGGTATGAATCAATCACTTAAAAATAAATTACAAGTCGTTCAAAATAAGGTTCTTAGATTTGTGAATGGGCTAGGACGTAGAGATCATGTTTCATATTCTGATTTGAATATACTTAATGTTGAAAACCGAGTTAAACAGTTAAAACTCAATCACGTACATAAGATTTTTCATAATAATTGTCCATCATACCTTAAATCAAAATTCAAATGTGTTAGAGATACTCATCAATATGGCACAAGATCTAGTTTATTCAATTTTGCGGTTCCAAAATGCTCGGGTAGAGATCAGCTCAGTAGTTGTGCCTTTTGCTATTTAGGAATTTATGGGATTGATATTTTGTGTGTTTCCATGGAAACAAATTTGACTTAGTTTTTGGTGTATAATTTTGTTCCAAGAGCATATCTCATAAACCATTCAAGATATCTTTTTGAAACTTTGTACAGACATCTACCCATTACAGTAGTCGTGCCTTTTGCTATTTAGAAATTTCTGAGATTTATATTTTTTGTGTTTCCATGGAAACAAAAATGACTTAGTTTTTGGTGTACAATTTTGTTTCTGAAGCATATCTTATAAACTGTTCAAGATATCTTTCTGAAACTTTGTACAGACATCTACCCATTATAGTAGTTGTGCCTTTTGCTATTTAGGAATTTATGGGATAGATATTTTGTGTAATTCCATGGAAACAAATTTGACTTAATTTTTGGTGTACAATTTTGTTTCCGGAGCATATCTCATAAACCATTCAAGATATCTTTCTGAAACTTTGTACACACATCAACCTATTACATTAGTTGTGCCTTTTGCTATTTAGGAATTTCTGGAAACACATAAAATTATCAAATCTGAGAAATTCAAAATAAGAGGATGTAGAACTTACATTATGTGCACCTGTAATACCAATTTTTTTTCAGTTATAGTATATGATCCACTCATTATTTACTTTACGAAAGTCTAACATGATCAACATATTGTATTTTGTTAAGTTCACTTTTTTGTATAATTGTTACTTGAATATCTTTATTTTGCCGCTTCATTGTTATGCTTTCATAAACCATTTTTTCATCAGTTTCTGGACATTCCTAAAGGAGAAGAGATGTTTGTAGTTAATCATTTACTCTTAAAACTCATTTAAATACACATTCAACTATTCATCATTAATTTTAAAAACCTTGCTTGTATACATGTACATTTATTACTGTTACAGAGAGGAAGAAACATGAATAAATGTGAAGATTGTACTAAATCATTTACATGCCAGCGTAAGTGTCTGCAGTACAATCGTAATGATACATTGCATAAATTATAGGATATATGATTCCTATTCTAGGTTATT